ACCAGGACTTTGGGTTTCCCTTGGAAGTTGGTTTCACGTCCGCACACCTCCAGGGAAGCCAGTGCCCTAGAGAGAGCACACAATGCATGGGGCTTGGCAGGTCCATCTCTCTGTGTCTGTGAAGTGACAGTACCAGCTCTTCAGAGTAGAAGGGCTCGGGAGATGCCAGGTGGTAACACAGGCGACGGCGGGAGGCGTGGTTAGCGTGGATGCTGGGCCTTCTGTCCCTTCCTTATTCTTTTCTTCAGTGTCCACACGGAGTGGTGCCAGGGAGCTTGAGAAATGTCTGCTTGAGGCCAGTGTCCATGGAGGACTGGATGGCATCCCTGGACCTCAGTGCACCTGCTGTCTTCTCACCACGGGTGTGTCCACCCTTCTGTGGCTGTGAACTTCCAGAGGGGTGCTCTCGTTCATCTTTGGACCCCCATAGCTGTCACACCACACCTGATGTGGTGCTTGGTGGCCACAGAACCATCAAAAGGAAATCAAAAGAACCTCTGATTTCAGAAACTGAGAAGTTTCAGAGACAATAGCCAAACTTTGGAGTGCGGCAGACCCAACTCAGATGGTGGCTCATCACTCACGAGTGTGACCTAGAGCAAGATGGTTCATCTCCCTGAGCCTCAGTTGTCTGGCCCAAAATAGACACACTAATAACTACCTCTGCAGGTTGTTGTGGGGATTAGAGATGACGTCAGAGACAAACCCCAACACGCCATAGCCAGCGCATAGTAGGAGCTCGGTAAACGGAAGCAGTGACTACCTGTGGCACAGGATTGTTTGTTCTGCGCTCTCAACCAGTGACACATACACAGCGCTTAGGGCCCCAGGGACTTTTCTTGCTTTGCTTTTCACATGAGTGTGGGGTCTCGCCATGGTTTGTTCTGCAGTGACAATATCAGCATCTTGACTTTGTAGCCTCACCCGCCGACTGCTGTGGGCAGCTGCTGCCTGGACTTCTTGTCTGTGGATGATGGGGCTGGGGTAGAGATGGGAAGGGCCATGTCCTGTCAGCTCAGGTCAGCGGCTGGAAGTGAAACAGATGATGACACGGTGACCCAGTCACCGCCACTCACAGCTCTGGCCACCTTTAACATTCCAACATTCCTGCTGACGTTTGAGACAGGGTCTTGTTGTGTTTTAAAAGTTTGGCTTGGATAGGAATGAATGCAATCATTTTATAGAAGTCCCTCCATGGGTTTACAGTCCATGGTTTCAGGTCCCAGGTTCACTACAGTTAAAAGAATTCATGGAAAATGATGTATCTTGAGATGAGAAGGAGGAGAGAGAGAAGAGGGAGGAGAACAAGCACATGTCCATACAACTCTGTAGATCAGCAGAGACAACTGGTAACAAACACTGTGACCCCAAAGAAAGATAGGACGATCCAATTTGTTATGTTTTTAAAACTACATTTATTTATTTGTGTATGCATGGAGGTCAGAGGACACCTCACAAGAGCCAGTTCCCTCCTTTCTCTGTATTTGTCCTAGGGATTGAACTCAGGTGGTCAGGTTTGGTGGCAAGTGCCTCTCCACATTGAGCCATCTTCCTGGCTCAGGAGATGCAGTCTGTAACGTGCCTGCCTTCTCCAGCCTGGATCTCTATTCTCCATGAATCCTCTGCTATTGGTTCTGCTGTGGCCCCCTTATGCCTCCAGCCTGGTGTCTGCGGGGGGGGGGGGGGGGGGGGGGGGGGGGGGGGGGGGGGGGGGGGGGGATTGGAGGGGGAAGAGTGGAAGACATTGGTGCATCAGAAGAAGCCAACATGGCCCTTCCTGCCTGTCAGCCTGGGCAAGAGAACAGCTGTCCAAACAGGATCCAGTAACTTAGGGAGGGGCTGGCAGGGGTGGGAAGGAAGCATGTTGGTTTTGGACAAGAGAATGGGACAGCTTAGGCTGGGTGTCTGCCACCACCTGAGAGAGTAGACCCAGAGGATGGGTCATAGAACCCATTCCCACAGGAAGTCAGGCCCTCACCACCCCAGCCACAGCCGGGCACAACATCCCCACTGATCCCACACTTGCCTTCTCATTTTGTCCATTCACCACCATTTCCTCCCAGGTCCGCCTTTTTAGGGATGGCTATTGTATCTGGAAGTCATGGCCACAGTACTTTTACCTGGTCCCATAGGATTGTGGGTGAAGGAGCCTTGGAGATTACTTTTGCCCTGCCTGTAATCCCTGGAACGGGGCCCTGTAGCCATTCCTGACCACGGCTCCCCAGGCTTTCTCAGCCAACACTCCCATGGCCAGGCCAGGCCAGGGCTGGAAGGCTAAGTTCTTTAATGTTGGCACCCATCTAGCTCTGGTATCTCACTGGTCCAGGCTCTGTGGTAGGAACCAGCTGAAGAGACTTTACCTCCTTGGGCTGACAAGCTGGTTCAGAGAAGAAAGGTTTTGTCACCAAGTCTGAATACTGAGTTTGATTCCCATGACCTATGGCATGGTAGAAAGGAATGGCTGGCTCCTGAAAGTTGTCTTTGGGGCTCTGTGTACTGCCTGTGCACATGCATACATATGCACACAAATAAGTAGGTAAAATATAATAAAAAGCTGGGAGTCGTGGTACATGCCTTTAGTCCCAGCACTTGGGGGGCAGAGGGAGACGGGTCTCTGTGAGTTTAAGGCCAGCCTGGTCTACAGAGTGAGTTCCAGGCCAGTCAGAGATGCATAGACTCTGTCTCAAAACAACTAATAATAATAATAATAATTTTTAAAGAGACGTTCTTTCCTCCTAGTGACATGACGTTTTCCTAGCCTGCCTCTCCTCAAGGGCCTTTTCCCCAGCGTTAGGCAGCCTCCTCTCCGCTGTGATTTGTCAGGATCCTTTCTTCAGAGGGTCCCTGAAGCAAGGCCTCAGACTCTTCTGAGCAGAAAGGGACTTTCGAACTTTGTAGATGAGGAAACTGAGTGGCTGCCTAAGGTCTCACAGAGTGGAGAGGGCTGAACCTGCCCTGCCTCTCGATTAAGGCCCAGGAGGCATTCAGAGTTGTGGCAGCAATACTTCCTCTTGCTTTGTTTATTTATTTTCTCAGAGTTAAGCACAGCCTTCCAACTGAGCCACACTTTCTAGTCTTTTCTTTCCTTTCAGTGAGTTCACGAGCATTCACATAGCCCTGCTAACTTGGCAATGGCCCTTAGACCCTGAAGTCATGACCTCCCTTCATACCAAAGCCTTGAATTTATCTCCTGCTCTCTAACCCTGCTGACCAGGCCAGCCTCCAATTCCAAATCCTCCTGCTTCAGCCTCCAAATGGTGGGATTATGGGTGTGTGACCCTATAACCAGTGGAGACCACATCTTTTGTTGTTGTTGTTTTTGTTTGTTTGTTTTTCAAGACTGGGTTTCTCAGTAGCTATGGAGCCTGTTCTGGAACTTGTTCTATAGACCATGCTGGCCTGGAACACAAGAGATCTGCCTGCCTCTGCCTCCCCAGTGCTGGGATTAAATACATGTGCCACCACCGCCAGGTGAGACCACAGTTCTGAGGTTGCATTGTCTGTTTTTTATGGGGAGCCCACATCTTATTAACCTATTGAATGTTGCCTCATTTGCACCATCATTTGCACCATCACTTACACCACTGTGCAGTTCTCTGCCAGCAGTCTGTAGAGACTTCTTGGCACAGGCAGGGTTGGGCTGGGTGACGCTAATCTTACCCTACTCCAGGCCGCGAGATTCCCCTTTACTGGGCTTGAGAACAATGACAGAATCTACCTGAGGCTACCTACAGAGTCAGGTGAGGTCATCTGTGTAAAGCACTTCCTGTGCTGGGACCCAGTGCTGTGTGGTCTCCTGGATTCTTTCATCCCATCTTTGGGGATATGTGGTTCCTTTCCCTTTGGTACCACCCTGACAAGCAGTTGGGAAGGGGCTAGGATAAATGCCCCCAGTGTTCATCCAGAGCTAGAGACCCCAAGCCCATGCAGACCCTCAGTGGGATACCTGAGCATTAGGCAGATGAAGAAACCCCAAGAGAGGCCCCTACTGCCATCCCCTAGATCAGAACAAGCTGCACTGGGGTCAGAGATACATACTGACCACCGTAGACCTAGCTTCGTCCTGCTGGATTCCTTTTTATTATTGTTATTATGACACTGGGCCTCACATCACCATCCAGCTTCAGCGTCTGATACACCTGTGTTGTTGTTTTGTTGCTGCTGCTGCTGTTGTCTGAACTCCTAAGAGATTACAGGTATCACAGCTCCCAGCTCAGGATAGGGCAGGCTCTCACTATGCAGCCCTAGCTGGCCTAGAACTCCATCTGTAGATCAGGCTAGCCTCAAGATCCAACTGCCTCTCCATCTCCTGAATGCTGGGGTTAAAGGGCTTGTCGCCAAACCCAGCTTAGGTCAGGGTCTTGTTTTGACATAAACCTAGGTGACTGAGAAAAGGCTTGGCAAAACACAGCAATTGTTTTAATGAATTTCTCTGCATGGAGGAAAAAGAGGTCCAAGAGGAAAACACAAACAAACCCCCAGAAATCCAGAAAATATTAGTTCTCTGACTTACTAGTTGAATAGGTTATAAAACAAGACAATGACACTAGCTTACGGTGGCCTTGGACTGGCAATGAACTTAAGGATACAGAGATGTAAACACAGTGCTTCCTGACATGGGATTCTCACACTCGAGAACGTAGGAGGATAAGCAGCCCAGACACACCAAGGAAAAATAAAGCGAGTCTGTATCAATCTCTACTACGTCCAGAGATAGTCTCAGAAGATTCTGTCCTCCGAGGCTGGGGCAGATCCTGGGTTCGAGCACACACTGCACAGAGGAGGCAGGGAGGTTGTACTGTGTTTGGCGTTCGGGGGCTTCCCAGCCTGTCATGTTCTGGGCCTGTCTTGTGCGTCTGTCTCTCATTCTCTGCAGGTTGCCTGTAACTCCTTGGACCCATAAAACACATACCCCTTTGACCTACAACCCTTTTCTGGTCTCAACAGGACACCCAAACACACCAGCGGACGAAGACCCACTCCCCCAGGAGCCACTCAGTCCAAAGGCATTTGGGAAACAAGACAACAGAGACATTTTATTAACTATCCACCCGGCTCCCTCTCAAAGTTTCTGGTATGTGGATTATTATTCTGTCTCAAATTTTGTTGCTGCTGAAGAATTTTTGACTTAGCCAGGAAAAAAAACCAGAATGATGGCCTGTTGCTGCCTTTGTCTTAGTACTTCAGATGGTGGACTTGGACTTGGTGTCAAAAAAATCACTAGCGCATCTGGCCGAAAAGTGTCAGTAGGACCCGCCCCCAGCTGTAGCCACACCCAACAGTCAGCTATCAGCAGGCTTACCAGGAAAACTGGGGCCTGGAGAAGGATGTGGAAGGAGGTGATGCTAGGGAGGGAAGAGAAGAGAGGTGAGGCACTGTCCATGGGCAGGGCAGGAGGAAGGTCTTTAATGGAACATCTCAGAGAACAGGGAGGGTCTGCATCACCACCCCCAGATCCTAGGCACAGAGGAGGTTTGAAATGTCCATGATAAATAGAACCAATGGGGTTGGAGAAAAAGCCAGCTCCATCCCCTTTAAAAACAGTCTTACTGTGGGCACCAAAAATATATTAATATCTGTACATTTCTCATCTTTAAAAAAAAAGGCAATAAAACCTCCTTGGCACCTTGTAGTTGGCTTGTTAAGAATGAGGTGATATGGAAGGCCATGAGTGCACATTCAGACGTGACTAAGTCACACATAAAGCCGTGTGACACACACGCAAGCACACACATGGCTGTACACATGTGGGGCTCTGATGAAAAGGCAGAGCCCTTGGAACCCTGAGAATTAGCCCTGCAGGCATGTGAGCCGCCGCCAGCCCCACCGCCGCCCTAGTTCGTGGGGATGCTCTTTGCTGGAGTCGGCTCTGCAGTCCACGGGGATCCATTGCCCGGCCTGTACTCCAGCTCGCCTCTCAACACATCTCCAGCGTCCTGCCACAAGGAAGCAAGGCCTGGCTCTGTAAGCAGCTGTCTCTAATCACTTGGCCTTGTGCTCGCTCAGACACAGGCACCCATCGTCCCGGGCTCAGAAGGACCCTGCCTGTAAGACAGACTTCCCAAAGTGAGCACAAGACAGTGCCTAACCGCGCAGGTGTGCCTGGCATGAGGCACTAGGGCTCTGGTCCTGATCCCTGGTGTTCTGGCAAGAGGCTGCAGGAAGGTGAACCCACTAGACAGCGGGGAGGGAACCCCCGTCCTTCCTGCAGGCCTGTGTTGCTCAGAGGTGGGGGCTGCCCTGCAGCAGGGAAGTGACAGTGTTCTGCAGGGCCACAGCTACTTTCTTGGAGGTCTTGCGTAGCAGTGGGCTGTCGGGGTGGTTCTCCTTGAGGTGCAGGACGTGACCCTCCTGACTCTCAGAGGTGCAGCCGCACTCCTCACACACGTACAGCTTGGCCCGGCGCTCCTTGTACGCGTACTTCTGCTGCACACCGTGGATCTTCTTGAGGTGGGACTCCAGAGAGCAGCGCTGGGTGAAGGCCTTGTCACACAGGCTGCACTTGTAGGGCCGCACACCTGTGGACAACAGGGGGCGGCATCAGGACCTGACAGGGACTGTGGAGCCTGTCCGAAGCCTCCATACACACAGAGGTCAGGACACCTGAGTGCCAAGTAACCAGGTGACTTGGGAATCAAGTCCTTGTCTATGAATTCAGGATGCTGCCCTAAGCTTCAGGATGTGCCTCCCAGGTCCCAGGCAGGTCGGAGGCATGCCCTCTGGACAGACTTCACTTACCAGTGTGGGTTCGGACATGTCTCTTAAGGTCAAAGGTGTCATTGAAGCCCTTTCCACAGTATGTGCAGAGATGCCTCTTGACATCGTTGTGACATTTCATGTGTCTGTTCAGCATGCGCTGGTAGGTGAAGGCCTTCTGGCAGATGTGACAGGTAAAAAGGTCCCCATTTGGACTGTCCCCCAAGGTTACCTGTGGGCGAGGATGGTATTTGTGGCAGATATCTAGAAATCAGCGCTATAGGCTGGCAGATATGCCAGCCCCCTTCCATCCCTACAACACTCTCAAGAAAAGCAGGCCCACCCTCCAGAGCCAATAACCTGTGATGTGACATCTGCTAAGAGGAGATGCAAAGAACCTCTGGGTATTGGCCCAGCTTCCTGTTGGGTCCCCTTTTGAAGCTGTCACCTTGAACTTCCCATCCTCCTGACTTTATCTCCCAAGTGCCGGGGTTACAGGAGTGTGCCATTATGCCTGGTCGCGAGGGGCTGAGGGTGGAACTCAGGGTTTTGTTAACACAAGGCAAGTCCTCTGCCCACTGAGCTAAATCTCAAGCCTTAGAAATAGTTTTCTATCTTTGTATAAAAACTTATTTTATGTCTATGGGTGTTTTCCCTGCATGTATATGTCATGCCTGTGCGCCACATGCTTGCCAGTGCCCATGGAGGCCAGAAGTCTTATCCCTTGGAACTGGAGTTACAGACAGCTGTGAGGGGTGCTGTGGGTGCTAGGAATTGAACCCAGGTCCTCTAGAGAGGGCTGGAAGACTAATGAGCCATTTCTACTGCTCCATCATTTTCTTTATTAATTATGGAAAATTTCAAATTTATGCAATGGCAGAAAGACTAATGTCATGATTCCTTGTCCATTACCCGGTGCAGGTCTTCTTACTCAATCTCTATTACCCTCCTGCTCCTTGTCTGGGTCATGTGACACACCCTGGTGCCACCACCAGACACTGTTTAGAGCGGCTGTGACAGCATTCTGGGTGTGACCACAAAGGTGTGGCTGAGCGGCCAGGTCTCTTCCTCGACTCTGTTCACAGTGACTGGGCTCTGTCAGGGGCCTGCCACTAGCCATTCCTCCTGAGATCCTGGACATCTGTCATACCACACTTCCATTGGCACCCCTCCCTTTATCCTGCTTTTGGTACTTGGAGAATTCCCTGTCTCTTGCCAATTAAGATCCTTTGAGCCAGGCAGTGGTGGCGCACGCCTTTAATCCCAGCACTTGGGAGGCAAAGGCAGGAGGATCTCTGTGAATTCGAGGTCAGCCTGGCCTACAGAATGAGTTCCAGGACCTATGTCCTATCTCCTATGTTGTCCTGTCCTGTGTTCTGCTCTCCCTCCCTATAGGGATCTGAAGGGTAGAGGAAGGCCTGGCAAGGAGATTGAGCCCTAGTGACTGACCAACGCAGCCTCTTTGCCGCTATCCCCCAGTTATCCACCCCTGGCCTTTGCAGGTAGGAAGAGAAGGGACAGAAATGTCCTTCCAGCCATAGCTAGTCTTTTGACATGAGGGATGCCCCAGAAGAACACCTTTCTGCTAGATCTCCGCTGGCAGGTGCTCCCAGGCCTTGGGGCTTTGGGGAGTGTCCACCCAGCCCGGGCAGCCGGCTGCTTCCTCTCCTCTGTGACAAGCCATCTGTACTGCCTCATGTAGTGCTACAGAACAGGAGAGAAGGTGGGGTGTGCGCTGCCCCTGCCCCGTGCACACCCTGCTCACTGCCATATACTTAAGGAACAGCAAACTACCCCACTGACCCAGACCTCTTGCTCCCTGCCGCCCATATTGGACTCTACAGATGCAGTTGGGCCTGGCTCCAGCTTCTTTACCTTGAGACCTGGTGTAAACGCGCGGCTCTTCTTTAGCTCTCCTGGCTTTGAGGCCAGAAATGAGAGAGATCACTTGCTGATACAGACTCCAAAGGGTTGGATGACCTGACTTCCTATCTGTTTCTTTCCTCTGTGTGCTCCAACTAAGTGAGTCTCTGTAAAGTCACAGTCCACGACTTGGATTGGTCCCCTGTGTCATAGCTGTGCCCCTAATCTGTGGGTTAGACATGGCCTCTACACATGCCCCTGGACCTTGAGAAAGAATGAAAATTATTACCTTCATCTTGGTTCGTAGGAAACCCTGGTCTCTGCTCTGGGAATCTGTCAGATGGTTCACATCTTCGGGGGGTAGCTGGGCCACCACACAGGGTCCTGGGGCCACACTATAGCTGGAGTCCCGAAGGCTCATGTCCAAAGCCAGAGGGCAAGAAGGGGGTTCGGCCACAGATGGCTCTGGTTCCCGGTAGGGCGGGGGTGGACAGAAGCCCAGGCTGACTGGAAAGAGAGAACAGCCAGATGAGGGTGGGCGGAAAAGACCCATCAGAGTTCCAGGAAGATTCCCGAGCAAGAAGAAGACTAGAATCTGCAGCCTCCCTTCCTCCCGCTGCAGGCATGTGGCAGAGCAGGGCAGGCCCCTGGGCCTCAGATGCTGCACCTCCCTCCTGCCCCATTCAGGTGATTACAGGTGACGCCAGCCAAGAGCCACGGCCCCTGGAGTAGCTTCTCTTAGCGGAACTGGGAGGACTGAACTGCCCCGCCAATTATGCTGCCAAGTGTCTGCCTGCCACACCTGGGCCAGTCACTCTGGATTCCAGCATGCCCTTACTCCTCTGGGGACAAAGGGCACCACTGGAGGCCTTGGCAGGAAAGGCTCCTTCAGACTCATTCAAGCCCAGATGGTTCCTGGCCAACTGGACCCTTCTGGGGCTCTTCTACAGGCAGACCTTTGGGGTTTGGGTGGTCCTAGCCTTTCCTCCCTGACCTGGCCAATCCCTGCTACTGTAGCCCATCAGGATCCTGGGCTCAGACTGGGCACAGCTCTGTCAGCAAAGAGGCCAGGTGGGTGGAGAGGGAGGAGGCCAGGGAGCAGCAGGTGGATGCTCGTAACAGTCTCTGGGCGCCCTGCCCAGCGCTTACACAACCCTGCTCCACTGCAGGACCGCTCACTGTGGCAGTCAGGCTGGGCGCCCTCCGGCACTGCAGTGGCATCACCGATACCTGGCAGCCCTTTGACAAGGCCGCTCCTCTCAACAAACACCATGAACTCAACGGGCCAGGCCTTCCAGGCTGAGCTGGGACCCTGAACCCCAGTCCTTACAGGACAAAGAAACACGGGTAGCAAGTCTTAAGGCCCGCAGAGCTGGGACAAAAAGTATAATTTTCCAATTAGTCAGTACAACCTAAGCTCTGTACTTAAAAAGCTATAAATTAGGAAGTTTCCTAGTTTCAGAAGGAAAAAAACCTCAGGAGGGGGGCCTTGTACAGAAAGGATGAATGAATAGGATTTCGGAGCCTCGAGCTACGCCCTCTGAATACTGTATTCCAAGCAAGAGATGTCAATGTAGGGCAAGGACCCAGGCTATTACCCTCACCTCTTCTGGGGGACCGCCAAGGTTGTGGGGGAAGGAAAATATAAAAGTACCTGAGTTTCGGGAGAGGCCCAGTTCTCGCCCCCTCAAAACACAACAAAGTCTCACAGAGGGAGAATGCGCCTGCCTGCCGCCCAGAACCCGTTCTTCTGGCGCTGGCGTCCGTCTGTCCAGGGGGTGGGGGACCTTTAATGAACCATCTCATTCCAGGAGTTGATTCACTAGCGCCTGGCCCCGGCCTGGCACCTGAGCTGGCATACCACCTCTCTCTGAGCCATGCTGACTGGTGTCGGGCTCAGAGACCAGTCTCCTGTAGTGGGGCCTGTGTAACACCCAGGCCTAGGACCAGGAGAGTGGGGTCAGAGTAGTGGCGACTCTGGTGCCCACTCACCAGACAGGCCTTGGCTGAAAGTCCAAAACTAGAGGACAATTTTCACTTCTCAGCCCAAGTAGAGGAAAATGTCACCACCACTATCCTCATCCTGTCACTTGGGCTGGTGTGAGGGAGACTTCTGAGAGACAGCCGGCCACATGGCCTGGGTAGAGGATCAGCCTGTGAGGTGAGCTGTCACACTTGGCTCCTTGGCCCTATGGAGGAAAGGCTGGGCTAGGAGTCTGCGGCCTGCCGTCTGCTGTAGAGGACCAGCCTGGCTTCTCTCTCCTCCTACACAGACCCGGGGAGGTTGCTAAGGACAGCAGACAGGACAGAGCTGGCTCAATGGGCACTCCACACTGTCTCTACCCGAGCAAAGGGCCAATACAACTGCCAGGGTGGGGATGTTTACCTCAGTTTACCCACCCCACCAAACCTGTCTTCCTGCCACCCCCACAAGAGTGTCTCTACAGGGCTGCACGCACAGGGAGTAGCCACTGGCATCCTCTCCACCTATCCCGAGTGCCACTGAATGGCAGGAGGCAGAACTGGTTGTGCCTTGCTGGTGCTCCTCTCTGTCCCTCTAATTAGATGTTTCCTGCAAGGCAGTGGCCATGGTGGCTACTCATTGCCCCCGCCCACAGCCACCGAGTGTGGCAAGGCCAGTCTGGCTAGCCCTCTCCCTCCTCCCTCAGGGACTGGTAAGTTCTCTCCTGTTGCCTTTACCTGGGCGATGCTACAGAGCTGGCCTGGAGCAGCAGACCAGATTTGAAATGGCCTTACCCTCCTCAGGCCTCCTTTCTTTCAGTCACTGGCCCAAATACCAGGCAGACTGCCAGGTCCTAGCCCATAAAAAGGCCTCAAGACAGGGCTGCACATAGGCCTGACCCTCAGCTTTCTGGGGAAAGCCTGGGCTTCCGGCTCCCCAGCTGACCTGACAAGTGCTGGTGAGCGAGCGTGAGTGTGCACACCCAGGCTGGCTTTAGGCTGCCTTGTACACTGATCTGGAAGGGTTGGGTCCCTTGTGTTCAGCTCTCTCAGTCCTGTGCGTTAGCCAGCCATCACCTGAAAGGGGCAGCGGCAGCCAGTGGGCAGGCGCTGCCGTGCCAGAGCGCAACAGGCCTGTCTCTTCGCCTTTTGTTGCCCTTCCGCTGGATACAGTGTTCTCAAGGCAGAAGCCGCTTCCTTTCCCAGCTGCTTTCCTTTCATGCAGCGTCTGTGCTGAAGTTAGACTCAACTCTCAGCCTTCGTGCCAGGGGGCCGGGCCCTGAATGGACGAGGAGCCTACTGGCTGTGTGTGGCATCCTTTACCCTGTCACCCGCACAGACTGGGGGCCACCTGCCTCTCATGTGCTGTGCGCTGAAAATGAACGACGACACAAATATCCACAGTGGCTGAGCTGTGCTCCCTCCTCTCCTCCCCAAACCTGGAGCACTGTCTCCACCATCTTTTCTGGGACAGCACAGCAGCATCTGCCTTAGGACCTCCAAGCTTGGGTACAGAGCAGCTTGAGCGACAGTGTCTCTCATACGACAGTTGCATTTCCAGCTGCTCTTCTATGCGTGTCCTGCCCAGGGCACTCAGCAGTCACTAGAATGCTCACGAAAGCTCAGCCTTCCCACACATGCTACATGAACTGGGGGTGGGGGACACAGCTGACGTTACAGCCAATCCTACTCAGCCTGGCAAGAACAGTCAGAGTCAGGCAGATCTCTAAGTTCAAGGCCAGCCTGGTCTACAAAGTGAGTTCCAAGACAGCCAGGCAGGGCAACATAGAGAAACCCTGTTTCAAACAACAACAAAAGCTGGTCAAGTTCCCCACTGTCTAGAGCAGTGTCAGGCTGGGCTGTGTTGTCTGGAGGAATACCACACTCCTGCACTTCAGCCTCCTTGATCCGGGTCTTCAGTTTCTTTGAGACAAGGTCTCAGACCCCCCCCCCCAATCTGAGGCTGACCTTGAACTCCAGATCTTCCTGCTTGCCACGTCCAAGTGCTGAGATTATAGGTGTGCCCTGGATGTAGCCTCCAAGCTTTGGACTTGTGCTGCCAGAACAGACCAGCCAGCCAGAATATTGCCCGGGGGGGGGGGAGTTTGGACATGGGGGGCCTCAGAGCCTAGAAGAGGCTCCTGGAATTCTCCTGGAGTTCCAGTTTTCTGGCTCAGTCTGTCCCCAGGTCCCTTCCCGACAATTGCTTCTTCACTCAGCAAGGACAAGCTGTAGAGAAACTGTCCCACTACAGCGCCTTCAGCCCTTCCACAGTGCAGGACTGGAATTTACCCCCCGGCCAAGGGTACCTGCCTCAGCCTACAAACAAAACAAAATATCCCTCCCTGTCGCCACAGAGTAAACATATTACCAACAGACTCTGGTACCAAGAGAGATGGTGGATGGAGAGAGGAGCCGAGTGAACCCCTAACCTGAGCTGTCTTCAATAGGGAATGGGGTCATTTCCTCACTTGCCTGTCTTCCATTGTAGGCTCCCAGCTCTCAGCTGTGCCCTCAGCAAAGGTGAAGGAGTGACCGCCCTGGGAGAAGACCCTCTGGAAGCTTGTGTAGGGAGCAAGCTGACGTGATTGTGAAGGGCAATCCCAGCTCAGGCCCAGCAACACACCATCCTCTGTGTGTGGTCAACCTTCTCCTCCAGGTAGTCTCCTGAAACTTTGAGGGTCTCAGGGATCCTTGGCGGGAAGGTCAGAACGTACACGCTCCCATGTTCCCCAGTCTTCCCACTGGGGATGGGGTCATTGCTTAGCTGGTCAAAATGTGCCCCAAGAATCTGTGAGGTAGGGTGACAGAAACGTGCCTAGCCGGCTCCTGGGGTCATGGCTGGCTGGTGATGGAATGGCTCAGCCAGGAGACAGAACCCACCCCATGCACTCCAGTCATCTGAGGCACCCAAGCATGGACTGAGGCCGCTCCCTTTTCATTTCCAAATCTGTGGGAAAACTGTGGCTCCTGTGGACCACCTAATTTAGAGGAAGAAAATTGAGTCCGTAACTTCTACCCACAGGTCTTTCTCTTCACTCAACCAACGAGAGGAAATTCTTCTAAGAGCGTATTTCCCAGCCTGGGCAATCCTGAGAGGGAGCGACTACCTGCACTGCAGGGCTCCTCATCAGGACAGCTGTAGTAGGTGGCAGCGACCACCCAGAGGCCGCCTATCTCCTCGACGGGACAGGCTGCAAGGCCAGGTCTGTGGTCTTTGTGTCCCTCAGATCTGTGCTAACCCCAGGAAGTCTGAATGATTTGAACAAACGGAGTATCTTTGTCCTTTGTGAAAGTCAACATATGATCTGTTACTGATTGGATGTGAAATAAAACTAAAAATAACAGCCCTCTGAGCCTGGCTCAGACACCGCTCACCTTTAGCACAGTCCAAGTTCAGTTTATCAGATCCCAAGGAGCAGCTAAGCAGCAAGTCAAACACAGATTGGGGAGGAGGCTGTAGCAAGGAAGGGGCTGTGTCCCTCATTGGCCTTCTGGAGGTGGAGCGCTGGACAATTGGCCAAAACACTTAGCCAAGCAGAAATCACAAAATCCCAAGCCCATACCTCAGGTGAGGAGGCACCCTTCCCTTTTTGCCTCCTATTTTCTCACACTGGGGAATTCTAGGACCTTCTGGCCATTGCCTTGTTTAAGAAGCCTTCAGAACAGCCTTACGACCCCTTGAAATAAAGTCAAGTTGTAAAACATCCTACCACCACTGGATCCTGGCAGGACTCACACAAAACACTCACATCCAAGACACTAACAGCTTATTCAAGAGGGAAACTGAGGCAAGAGCCCACACAGGGTCCTCACTCACCATCCCCATTCCCCCACTTTCTTAAAAGCCTGGGTGGTGCCAGAGAGCCTGCAGATCAAGGGTCAAAGTCGGTTGGTTAATTACCACCTCCCCCCCCACCCCCGCTTGGAGGCGCAGGGCAGTACACTCCTGCCCTACCCCCAAGCCGGGGAGGGGGAGTTGAGAAAGCGCTTGCCTCCCGATCTAGGGATCCAGGGTTTTTGTATCGGGAGCAGAAGTGTCCTAGGGCTCTGGAGGAAGATGCTGCCGGAGGAAGAGACAACTCCGGTTACTAATTCGAAGATGACGCGCAGGCTGTCAAGGCGTCTTCCCTAAATAAACTAGTACACCAGCTTCCTGGAGTGTGTACCTTAGGTGTGGAGTGGGCTCCAGAACTCTCTTTTGCTTAGTGTCCTCTGCAAGGGTGAACAGAGGTGGGACCCAACACCACCTTGTCTCAAGGGCAAGCAAGGTGTATCAGGTGTATTTCTCAGCAACTCCTGGACCATCAGGCTGGAGACCAGGGAAACTCGGAGGCCCTGAACCTCGGCTCTCTTATCTTAAGCGAGCAATGTTGTGGGGGCGACTAAAGCTCCAAGTTTTCCTTTACAATGTAGCCCAAGTCTTAGCGGAAACTCCAGCTCCTTTCCAGTCCCCCGCCCTCCCCACCAAAGTGGCATCGCTTCAGTGATCCTCAACTGCCTCATAAAAGAAAGTCCAGGTTTTCTGGATTTACGATGCGAGAGCCCGGGGTGGGGGTTGGGGGGCGTCCCCTGAGCCGTGACACACCCCGCTGCATCCCCGGCGGCGCGGGCCTGCGATCCCTAGTCTGGGACATCGGCCGAGCCTCGGCTTGGAGCCCCATCCGCCTCACTGTGCTCCTCCCTCGCCGGGGGTCGGTCTGCGGCGGGAATCCGCGTCCCCACGCGCACTGACCGGCGCCGACCGCTTGTCCGTGCGCCCCGCCCTCCCGGCGCCAGGAGCCCGCGATGCCTCACCTGGCACGTAGATCTCGCCGCGCTCCTCGTCTGGGAGTTCGCTCCAGTTCCTCTTGCACGTGGAAATGCATGGCTTCTTCACCAGGAATGCGCGGGGCATCTTCGATCCCTCCTGGACCGGCGCGGTTCGTTCCCGTAAGTCGAGTCCGGGTGGTCGTCCAACCTTTTCGGGGCTGAGGGACAGTTCAAGAAAGGAGTCGCCGAGGCGTGCCCACGTTCTGAGGGAAGAGAGTACCAGGGTCCGCGCGTGGAGCGTCCAACTCCGCCGAAGGTCGCCGGTGCCCGCAGAGCCGGTGCAGCCAGGTGCACCCGGATGGAGAAGCGCCAAGCGAGCGTCCCCTGGCTCGACTGGCGTCCCTGCGGCCGCTCGCGAAGTCTTCAAGTGCGAGCTGGACGGACGGGTTCACGCTTTATTGGCTCGCGGCGGTGTGTGTTGGTGGCTCGGGCGGGGGTGGGGTGGGGGTGTTGATCTGATCTAATTAGCTTGGAGTGGCCGGGAGCGCGATGGCGCATGCGTTGGGAAATAACGGTGACAACCCACCTATTTGTTACCTGTCGAACCGGTTTCCATTCCGCTGCGGGTGAGGTGGCCTCGCGGCCCGGGCGGGGCAGCACGACGTGGGTAGGAAGTGGGGGGTTGGCGGCCCAATAGGGGTTGGGGGGCGGGCTCCGGTACCCACACCCAACAGCACCCGATTCGACCCGGACCTCCCTTGCCCGGCGTCGTCAGGTTTGCAAACTAGAGTTTCGGAAGGAGCAGGCACGGGAAGGGAGGGCAACGTTATTTGCACCGTCGCTAGCACGCTCTGTGAGCGATGACATAAAACTCGCCCAACAGGCCTGGGCCCAGCCTGACGCGCCCCGGGCACCCGGAGAGGTACAAAGCCGCCGGGCGGGAACAGGAGGCCCATGCCCGCACTCAGCGGCCCTGGATCCCCAAGGCCGGGCTGAGCAATTCTTGGTTCAGCACAGAGGTATTTGCTGGGCACCGGCTTCCTGCGGGAAGGCACGCCTGGCGGCAGGAGCGCGTAGACTGGGAGGCTCGGAAGCGCCAGTAAATCCAAAAGCTCGAGCCCGCCTTTCGGTTGTGCCGGTGTTTAACCGACCTGAGTCCAACTTAATTGAGGCTAGCGCCTTGGCATATAGGCGGACACGGTCTTCCAAACTCAGAAATAGCCGGTTTTGGGATTCTGAAAATCCGTGAGAGACCAGGGGATGAAGACCCCAGCTGAGGTCTGACCTAGTCCTCTTTGCCTGTTGCACCAGTATCCTCCCTGAGTGGGAACTCAACAAGCAGTTACTCCCTATCTACCCTCCTATGATCTTCAGTAGGCCCGGTTGGAGTGATGCCCCACCCCCATTGGACTGCCCGGGGAGGGGAGTGTCCCGTGGCCTTCATTCAGCCACTTCACTGTGACACTTTGGCCGTGGCTGAGTTTCTTTTACTGGCTGACCTATTAAAGGCAGGGATGGGACCTGCAGTTAAAGGCTACTAACATTTTAGACTCCAGACCTCAGTGCAACTTTCTCACAGTGTTATATGTTTGCTGGAACAGACTGTGAAGGAAATTAGTCTGATAAATGAATTCACACAGTTCAAAAGTCAGGAGGCACAGGTCATAACCCAGCACGTGGGGAGCTGAGGCAGGGAAGCTGAACGGTAGAGGCCAGCCTAAATTCATCGTGAAATCCTGCCTCAAACACAAAACAACAAGAGGCCAAAGAAATGAAGGCCTTGGAGCTGGCTGAGAGGTCAACACCCAGGACTCACGTGGCGGAAGGGATAACTGATCCCACAAATTGTTCTTTCACCTGTACAGACACACCGGGGAACTGGTGCCACACACACATCTGCACAAGATAAATCCAAAGGAAAGGGAAGTGGTTAGGACTTCAGGCATTCAGAGGACATTTCAAACATGGAGCTACTTGGAGAGACCCTGTACATCTCCCCAGGATCTTTGTGAAGATGGGTGGGTGAGGAGAGACACATCAGTCTCCCTCTCACTGAGCAGGAAGTAGTTGAACCAGGAGCCTGAACTCTCTGTTCCTGGAGAATCACAGAGTTACTGGGAAGGTGCTGTGACCCTTAGGGCCATTAAGGTTTGCCACCTCCCTTTGCTATCCCTGGAGAGCTGTCTGTCATAGTCCACTCTTCCCTATCCACCTCTCATTCTGATCATGGACCTTGCCCTTCAACTAGCATTAAGTGAGCAACTACTGTATGCTTATCTTTAGCAATAAATCCTGGGGTAGCAACATGGATTGTCTAGGAGGCAACTGAACTTAGCTCACTTTCTTTCTTCCTTATTATTATTATTATTGTTGTTGTTGTCATTTTGAGACAGGATTTCCCTGTGTAGCTTTGGTTATAGACCAGGCTGGCCTTGTACTCGGAGATGCCTGCCTCTGCCTCCCAAGTGCAGGAATTAAAACTGTGCCCAGCTTCCACAGTAGGCATTGAGCCCTTTTGTGGTACCATCCCGACAGGCTGGTCCCAGGGAGTGCCCAGGAGAGTCTACATGAAGTCTTCACAGGTGACCCTAGATACAGAGCCAGGCTTTCTCATCAGACTAGTTTGGATGTCCAGAAAGCCAGGTAGGGAGCTAAACTGGGTGAAGCCAGCCAGTCCAGTGTCCCTGCTGGTACAGAGTTACAGCGAACAGAGCGAGGTCCAGGAGACTGGGGCTTTTGTGCTGCTGCTGCAGCTCCTGTGGGATAGCAATACTTATGGAATGAATGGTCTTTACATTTTTGCTTATCTCTTTTATATGTATGAGTGTCTTGTCTGCATGTGTGTCTGTGTCTCACATGCATGCCTGGGGTTTGAGAAAGCCAGACGTGGGCAGCAGTGCACTGGGATTGGAGTGGCAGGTGGGTGCTGATAATTGATCTCAGGGCCTCTGGAACAGCAACAGGTGCTCTTAACTGGTGAGCCATCTCTTTTTTTTTTTTTTTTTTTTTTTTTTTTTTTTTTTTTTTTTGGTTTTTTGAGACAGGGTTTCTCGGTGGTTTTGGAGCCTGTCCTGGAACTAGCTCTTGTAGACCAGGCTGGCCTCAAACTCACAGAGATCCGCCTGCCTCTGCCTCCCGAGTGCTGGGATTAAAGGCGTGCGCCACCACCGCCCGGCCTGGTGAGCCATCTCTACAGCAACTCTACCTTATGTTTTAAGAAGGTGTCTCTCCAATGGGGGATGTTCTATTGGGAACTCACCAAGGCCAGCTGGCCCAGGTCTGAAAAATCATGGGATAAAACCGGACTCGCTGAACATAGCGGACAATGAGGACTACTGAGAACTCAAGAACAATGGCAATGGGTTTTGATCCTACTGCACGTACTGGCTTTGTGGGAGCCTAGGCAGTTTGTATGCTCACCTTACTAGATCTGGATGGAGGAGGGTGGTCCTTGGACTTCCCACACGACAGGGAACCCTGATTGCTCTTTGGGCTGACCAGGGAGGAGGACTTGATCGGGGGAGGGGGAGGGAAATGGGAGGTGGTGGCGGGGAGGAGGTGGAAATCCCAAATAAATAAATAAATAAATAAATAAATAAATAAATAAATAAAAGAAGGTGTCTCTCGCCGGGCGGTGGTGGCGCATGCCTTTAATCCCAGCACTTGGGAGACGGAGGCAGGCGGATCTCTGTGAGTTCTAGGCCAGCCTGGTCTACAAGAGCTAGTGCCAGAACAGGCTCCAAAGCTACAGAGAAACCCTGTCTCGAAAAACTAAAAAAAAAAAAAAAGAAGAAGAAGAAGAAGGTGTCTCTCCATCAGGTGTGGTGGCACAAGCCTTTAATCCTAGCACTAGGGAGGCAGAGGCAGGTTTTTCTGTGAGTTCAAGGCCAGCCTGGACTATATAATGAGTTCCAGGGGAGCCAGGCTATGTAGAGAGACTGTCTCAAAAATTAAAAAGAAAACTTAAAAAGCTAGGTCCTTTCACTGGACCTAGAACTCGTGGTTTCAGCTGGTTTGCTTGCTCATCAAGCGTTTTCCCACTAAGCCATATGCTAACCCATAGAATAGGGAAGGATTAACTGGGGTTGTGATGGTGGTAGGTGGGGTTGCTGAGGTCTGAATGAGAGGTGGGAGCCAGCTGGACAAAGTGGCCAAGAGCATAAATCAGAACCAAAAGCTGGCGCCAAGGCCCATGGTAGAAAACAAATCTAGTGTGTGCAGCTGTGGTGGCTGGATGCTGGGAAGGAGGGAAGCTGAAAGCTGGGTCCCTGGCATGACCTGTGATGCTGAATGGAGAAGGAGCAGGGAGGTGGCGGTAAGGAGACCAGGGCTGTGTTGGAGCTACTGCAATGGTCCAAGTAAGAGATGGTGGCTTGAGTCACAGTGAAAACCAAGCCATGAGTCAAGTGTCTTGAATGACATCACCTGTTGGTATAGAGGACAAGAGGATGAAGGGAAGTGGAGCCGCAGCAAGCAAGAACCATGATGCCCACTGTGAGCTGTCTGGATATGGTACTCAATCCCCATCCCAAGGAGTCTGAGGCGTTAAGAAGGGTACTGGATGGTGAGTGGAACTACTCCTTCCTGCTATCACAGTTCTTAGGAGCCAAGATAGGATGGAGGCGTGGAAGGAGCTGTGAACCTGGAGGTCTAAAGCACAAAGGGTCATGGGAGATACATACTGAAAAGACACAGAAAAGAATACAGCTACAGTCAGTGCCTGTGGATCTGAGCCAAGTCATCTACCCTTTCAGGGCCTCAGTTTCCCTAGCTGTGACCTCGGGCTCCTAGTTCTAGCTCTGACCTTTGGCAGTCGAGATTCTGAAGAATGACCTTTGCCTGGGAGACAGCAGCTCTGCAGTGGGCAGCCCTTCAGAGCAGGCTGACGGGGTCCTTTGTCAGCCACCTGAGCAGGTTCCCCTGCACCACCTCAGCTAAGACAGGTGTCGGACACCCCAGGTTGGCCTCTACCTCCCTGTGCTGCTGAGGATCACGTTGTTCCTCCTGCCTCCATACCCTGCCAACCAGCAGCTTTTCCAGACCGGCTTGGGAATAGACCCATGGAATCTGCAAAGCTCCTGATAAGGGGCCACCCCTAGCCAGATGGCAAAAGGCTGGGGACCATGGCAGAGGAGATGGTTTTTAGCCAAGGTCTGTGGAGTGGAGCTGGTTGCTCTTGGTGGGTACCAGAGCGTGGGGTGAAACTCCACCACAGTAGCCACAGGTCCCATCTGCCAGTTTCAGGCCCAGCTCACAGACTCCACATTCTGGCTCTGCTGTTGAAGTCATCAGCCTCCAAATGACAGTCCCACAGCCCCAAGTCACTGCCTCTCTCTTCCCCACCCCTTTCCCCCTAGCTGCCACCTAGGCCAAGTCCCTGCCACCCTTCACCTGCTCTGGGCTCCCTGCTAGCCCCACAACCAGCCATAGATGTTGTGAAAATCCATACCCTCATCTCCCTTCAGTGGATAGAG